GAAAGTTATTTACATTTTGGCGACAGAAGCTAAGATACCAATGGCAAAAAACAAGTCTTCTCTCTGGATCCCCTGCCAAAAGCGTTTGAACTGGTCGGTACTTATACGGAATAAATTTGTATTTTTTTAAAATCCTTTGAACAGTACCATAACTGAAATTAGAGTCCTTGAGAATATCTGCTATTGAATTCTCACGATAAGCTTCAAAATATCCAATAACTGCAATTTCCGTGGCCTCGCTTATTATGAATTCTTTTTTTGCCCTTGTTTTAGCAAAAACATTTTCGTTGCCCCTAAATTTTCGATAAAGTCTCAGAAAATATCGTTCATACGGTTGAATGCGAGCGGGATATAATTCACTGTAGTATTCTCTTGCTCACAAGGAGGATTTTCTGCACACTAAATAGCATTCTAACATATCACACTTTTCTTCATGGGAGAACGTTTTTCTTTAAATTAATGACACAATAAAGCTTATAAACAAGTATTTACACTAATGTTTGACATTATTTGATTTTATCATTGTTTTCCAAAGCCTTCTAGTTGCGAGTATGTCCAGTTTAACAATTTGTCGCTTATCTTAATGCTGTCAAATCGCGAACGCCATGTTGTTTTCATAGCCGTCTTAATATTATAATACTGCAAATAATTAAAAATATTTATCGTTATTTTGACTTTACTTTTGACTTTAGCGGAAAAGTCATTATGAACTTTTTTGTTTAAAATTTGATGCTTTAACAGAAAAAAATATAATATACAGGGGTTTCCATTTAAAAAAATGTTATTTTACTGAAAAAAATCAAAATAACGACTCTCAATTGTTTTTTTTATTTCTCATTTTTACCAGCGTTAAAAATGCTACTAGTTTGCTAATTTAAACAACTTTGTATTTTTACTAATAACAAAGTTACCAATGGTGACACTTAATTTGGATAACCCTGTATACCCGCAGCATAGCTTAGATAACAATCAGCTATATTAAAGGAGTATAGTATGTTTGTCCAAAAAGAAGTATTTACAACTTATAAAATATTTTCTTATTTTGCTTCCATAAAAATTGGTCGTAACAGATTACCAGAAAGTAAATAGTATAGCTACATATAATGATATTTTCGCTTATAATGTGTAAACCAAGAATCTAAGAGTATAAAACACCACTTTTTTTGTTTTTTCAACAATTTGATGGTTCTTGAAATATAAGAAGGAAACAGACGGGCGACATACTCCAGATGTACGTTGTCCGCATGCAACATTATTTCATGTCCAGATAATTCCAATCATTATCTATGATCAAGAATAATATTTTACAGTGAATCCATTTTTTCACTGCCACGTAAAAATATGAACAAGGTAATATTTTTTGATAATATGTGATTGTTCATTTTGAAGATCTCTTCCATCAATCTATCTATTGGGATTTTGTCACCGCGTAATTCCAGTAACAGTAACATGTGTGCTGGCACGTGGACAACGTACGAAACATGCAGAGTATGCCGTGCGAATATTTTTATACGAATTATTAAGTTTTGCTCCTTATACTTAAAATGGCTTCAAAATAGACAAAGTAAATCATTTATTTGGACTACAAAAAACTATATCTGATTCGGGCTAAGCGACCAGAAAAACCTATACAACGTTTGGTTGGGCTCAATTACTCGACTTCTTCGGAAAAAATGTCCTTGAAATGACCTCGAGGTGGCATTCAAATGATCTCACAACCCCAGATATGCAATCACACAGAAAATCCTGCTGTGTCGAATATCGGATAAATGCCGTAGAAATTGTATTTTGATTAACATTTCGGCCTTCTGGACCATTGTGCTTAGGTCACGAGTAGTAGTGACTCGAGCGTACCAAGGAAGGTCCAGTGTTTATTGTTCACGTAAGTATTTTTTTTATACTCCAACTGCCACGAAGTCCTAAGGCCTAAGCACCCATTGGGTACCGTGGGGCTATAGGGGGATACATGGGAAAGGGAGAACGCCACACGGACTCTGGCGAGGGAACACGTGTGCATGCAACATGCACACATTCTGGCTCCGCCTACGAGATCCGCCGGGTGGTATCTCCGCGTTCGACAGCCAGAGACCGTCTACCACCTACGGATAATCGCAACATCCATAGCCAAGAGAAAAATTTCTCCTGGGACGGGACTCGAACCCGCACAACGCACGGCGACTGATCAGGAGACCGATGAGTCTACTACTGCGGCCACCGCTGCTGCCTGAGTAGCGAAGAATTAAACAAATTCAAGTAACCATCAAATATAAATTTGAGCAACGAACGAGTATATATAAAATACGTCTCAAGTTTTTAAACTAATTCAAATTTTCCTCGCTAGGAAAGGTATTAACCTCCATTCTAACACCGCCAACAGCTAAGCATCTAGCAGCATCGCCTCCAGTGCAAAGTTTGTGTATAGCTGAGATGATATGACGCAACCGAAGTTCCGAAATTCCTGCTTGCTCCTAGCCTGCCACGACTGGTTATTAATTACCGAAGTTGTAGAGGTGTAGTCACGGCCTTTCGTAAGAACACCTTCCTGTGTTTTCAAACTTGTTCACCCGTCACTTTACTGGTGAAATATCATGGTGGTACGCTGCTATGCATGAAAAATTTCTGCATCTCTTTATATATTATGCTGCTACACATTTTAAATGGTATAATTACTATTATTATTTATTTTAGGGCAGCATCCAGTGGCGGATTTAGTGGTTCCCTCCACCTAGACGCCCAAGTCTGCCATTTTTTCCATTAAAATCGTATAGAGGGTATCCTCCCAGCTACGGTGTAAAACTTAAGAGGTCTTTTCAAAAATAAAAAGTTCCTATGAATATTTGTCTGGCGTTGCTTCGTTTCTGACATATAGGGCGTTGAAGTTTAAAAAAAACGTGTCAGAAAAATTGATATCTAGGAGTCGTGTATTTTATCAGAAGATTTACATGCTCATTTACTTTAAGGTCGAAAATAATTATTATAATAACTGCAACCAGTTTTGCATTACTGACTTTACTGTAAATTCGAAAAAGGGAAGCCGAAAAGAATGGTTTAAGACAAAACAGACATATAATAATAATAATAATAATAAAATGTCTTTATTAGGCACATTATATAAACTACAACATAATGTGACCTCTACGTAGGCGAAGTCTAGCTCGTGGCTACTCTACTTAACCTACCCAAATAATAAATTGAAATACTTAATCAAAGGAAACTTTGACAAGCAGCAAAGGATGCTTCAAAACAATGAGCTTGATAGCTTCCTGACATACATAATATATACACACATATATTACGTAAAAATAAAATATTGGAATTAAAAACTAACTTTTCCACAATTACTACAATGACAAATAAATCTGTTTCACATACTTACGAAATCTGTTTACTGGCCAATCCTTTATATTGTCATCTAATTCGTTATAAATCAGGATAGCATTGTAAGTGTATGAACTACGAAATAAAGTTGTTTTATACATAGGGATCTCTAGTCTTTTTTTGTGTCTGAAATCAATGTCTGAATTATTTCGTCTGAAAACAAATTTCTCATAAAGATACAAGGGGGATCGAGAAGATATGATCTTATGTGTAAACACTGCTATATGGTACTTGCAAGCATTTTCTATACACATCCAACCAAGCAGAAATCTCTTTAAGGAAACATGATCATACTTCTTGAGATTAAATACAAATCGACAACAAGTATTTTGGAGTTTTTGGAGTCTTGCTTTTGTGATAGAATCCAGACAATGATAGAACACAGTGTTACAGTAAAATAAGCTTGGAAATATAATAGCCTCACACAACTTTTTTCTAACTTTAAAATTCAAAATATAGCGATTGACATAAAAACACTTCAAAGTTGCATAACATTTTTTTAAGATAGACGAAACATGCTCGTTAAACCGTAAAGTATAATCAATAATCAACCCTAAATTTTTTGTAGTATTTACGACAGCTAGACGCTCCTTGGCGATTTTTACATCAAGAGAATTCAATATAGTGTTACGTTTGACAGCAGGACAAAAAAGCATCACTGAGCACTTATCCTTATTGAGCTTAAGATTGTTACCATTTGAGTATCCTACTATTGCTTCCAAGTCATCATTAAGCTCATTGATTGAAGTAAGTCAAGTGTTACTATTAAAGCTCTTATATATCTGTGTATCATCGGCATAGCACATCACAGAAGATTTTTTCACAGAGCTACCCAAGTCTATAGTATAAATTAAGTACAACAAGGGCCCTAAAACTGAACCCTGAGGGTCACCTGATGTTATATCAATCGGACTAGATATAGTGTTGTCTATCTCTACTACTTGTTTACGATTTGAAAGATATGTTATAAAAAACATTAGAGGTATGTCTGAAAAACCAAAAAACTTCAATTTAGCACATAAAAGCTCATGGTCTATTTTATCGAACGCCTTAGAATAATCTAATGTTACAAGTGCTGAAGCATCTCCCTTATCAAGCGAAGCAATGATGTCATCTAAAACCCTTGCTAAAGCTGTAGTTGTACTAAAACCACGGCGGAAACCAGATTGACGTTTGGGAAAGAAATCATTATTAGAGAAATAATGATAAACCTGATGTTTAATCAATTTCTCCAATATCTTCGATATAACAGGAATCAAAGTTATAGGTCTTAAGTCTGAGAGACAATTTGGATTTTTACATTTAGGCAAGGGCTTGACAAGAGATAGTTTCCAAGCATCAGGGAAATACCCAGCCTCCAGGCAACAGTTCAATAAGCTCCTCTATCTTAAGAAAGCATGTTCAGTAAAAGAATCCGGTTGGTTCTTGAAACCCGTATATTTAGCATGGTTTTGTGTATGAGTTTCCGAATTCGTCCCAATTTTCAAACCATTTTGATATACATCACAGAAGGATGCCTTTTGTCAATGATCCCTTCCTCACTGAAAAAATGCCTTTAAATGCATTTTATCTATCAAAATGACCTAGGACCTAGTATTAACTCCAAAGTCAAGTGTTCCTACCTTGTGCATTAACAGTAGACGTCCCCAGCGTCAGCAGAAACGTCAGCAACGTAGTCAGCAATGCGGTGGCTGGTGACAGACACAGGGGCAGCTTCTCGCTCGAGGCCCGGAAACGGAACAGCCGGAATGCAGCGACAGTCATTTTTATGCCGGAACTTCAACAGTCTGCGAAACGGACGTCCTTATAGCTGTTCATAGTCGTCGGTGGTACACTGGTTCTAGTAGGCGGATGTCTGGAATAGATAGAAAAAATTGCATGTTAATAAATAAGAAGCTTCGCAATTCAAACCTGGCGCCATTTTGTATCAACTTAACATGACATTTTATATTCGCCATTATCGTCACTTTGGAACTAGTTGTCATTAAGATGATGTAGTAAATGTGTGTGTCGTTGAAACATCAAGGTACTTTAGCTTCAGAAATAGAGCTAGCGGAGAATATTAATAGCTTCTACGGCCTAAGCTGTGGGTTCTATACATTCCTCCATAAGTGGCGTTCATAGCAAGTACACGTGACGTGGGCTAGTGACTAGTCAGTACCAAGTGACAAATATGGGGTATGATCGACATCGTAGCTACTATTTTAGATTATATTGGTGAGCAAAACAGATCCATACACATTTTTGGGAACAGAAACGGATGCAAATCTCAATTGACAACAACGTATATAAAGTTTAGGGTTCGCTTATCAGAATCAGCTTTGCTAGATATGTATTATTCTCTCATCTACTCACATTTATCAAGGCACATCATAATTTGGGTTCAATCAATAGCAGATGTTCAACAGAAGAGAATAATTATATTGAGATCCAACATCTATATAAAAGAATCTTGCAGAGAGGTCTTCAGAAGTAAGAACATCATGACTCCACCAAGCATTCATATTTATAAGTAGTCCTCTTCAAACATACTGATAACACAAAATTTATACGGAACAAAAACATCCACACACATTATAATACGAGGGCCGCTGTTCTAAGTCCTCCAAAACACAGTCTGACACTGTTTGAAGGAACATATAACAAACCTCCAGCTAGTCTTAGCTAGCCAGCTTATGAACGTCAACTACGGAAATTGTGCTCTTTGTCTGGGTACCTCGCACTGTGATATATCTCATTTTTTCACATTACTTTAGATGGGAATGTTTGTTCGCCTTTCTGTTTTGCAAATAATTTAAGGGTGTTCCTATTGGTACTGTCTTATACTCGTATATGCCAATGTTTGTTTTGCTTTACTTTTAATTTTGTGTACTTCCTCTCTGAACGAGTCTTTTCTTTCTTTCTTTCTATGATCTACAAGACAATAAATAATCTATCTATCTGACCAGGATTGAAGCGTATCAATATAGCTCTTAACCCTACACTATTTTTCGAAAATGAACGGGGGCCTCTGAAACGTCAAAAAACGGAGTTTGAGTGATTTTTTTTTCGTTATTTGGCTCCTAGCTCCGCCGCCACTGGATCGATTTTCAAAAACTATACAGCTTTTCGTCCTTGACACAGTAGTAACGTCGTGTGAAAATTTATTAAAGTCCGAGCAGTATTTTACAAGTCATAAAGGGATGAGACATTAGCGGACAGAGCGACAGACAGACCGACTGAAATGTAACTTGTAACATCGAAACACCAATTCCTCGTCAGTTGGCGTGGGAATCAAAACTAGAGGGATTATGCGTCATGTGGCAAGGAAAACTTAATGAATTGCCACAGACATATTTTCCTGATGGCTGCGTGATTTCCTGCAATGATGATGTCTGCCAGCTTGCAAGTTCATGTATTCTAGCCATTTTTGGCCCAATGCAATGGGGTCAAGTACTGTGATATTGGCGGACTACTTTTCCTCCAATATCCCTAGCTCAGCTAATCGATTTTTTGACCTATATAAAAAACCCAAGGTTTATTAGATATTTAGGACCATTTTCTATAAAATATAACTTACATATTTGAGTCATGTCTGCACTGGTGAATTGTGTCGAGTAATCCTAGCTGGCAAAGGACCGAGACTTCAAAACCTTTTTACGTTTTTTCCGGGACCAAGCATGAATAAAATTTTAAATGAAAAAAATTAAATTGAAGACTGGTTCATCATTTAAATTGAGTTTTTTCATAGAACGAACTGACCAAAAATTTCATTATGTAATTAAAATGGCAGCGACGTCCAATTTTGATCCCGCTAGGCGGCGCTAGTGTGATTGGAGATCAAACTATCAAAAGTAGATGGGAATACGACTGAGGTATTATGTAAAAAATGTAAAAAACGTAAAAGAACTGACGAAATGTCATCTTGCAGACTATGTAGCTTTTAGAGTGAAGATAGTTGATTCCACATTTGCTCTGTACGATCGCTGTTCGCTGACGTTTAAGCAACACGTACTGCTACAAAACGAGTTCACAACAAGTGTACAACAGCTTGTTCTAAGTGAATATCTTGTATAAAAACCTACTTTATGTCACAAAAAATCTAAGCAATGTCAAAAAACGACGAAATGTCACTTTTCAAGATACTACCTGTCTGGAAATGAGACGTTATATCGATTTTTTTGACATTATATTATTTTTTTTTATATTATGCAGGTTTTTATACAAGATGTTAACCTAGCACTAGCTGATGGACATGTCGTCAACTCGTTTTGTAATTGTACGTGTTGCCTAAATGTCATGAAGCCTCAGTTATCAATGTTTGGCTCTGATGTGATGTAAAATCTGCTTCAGAGATGGCAGTACTGGAGGTAACGGCAATGCATAGGTGCACAGTGTGTTCTCATAATATGTGTTGATGATAATCCCATTGGATTCAGGTTTTAAATACGCTTATTTAAAATTCAAAGCTAGAAATTAGTTGCGCATCCAGTTTTTCTTATCCATTCTGGAAATTACATATTCAAATCTGCTGAATTCCAAAAATGAGAGAGATAAGACGTAATTTAACTTACTGTATACTAACGAATTACAAGTCATATAGATGCTAACAGTAATTACACACAACGCGAGTGTGGTGGTGATTTCTCGTAATTCTCCTCATAGTTTTTGAAAACACATAAAAACGTAGTTTATAAGTTTGAATAAATAACGCGTCGGGCACAGCTATTAGATATACCTCAATGACAGCAGTAACGATTTTCTCGCACAGCAAATATCACTGGTTTTATACAGATGCAGACCAATATACACAATCATCCAGATGCGAACTTGCTATTCGACCAACTTTCTCCTCAGAGATGAAAACTATAGACTACTAAAAACAATGCGTGTTGTTGAGCCATTCCACCATAGATGGACGCTCACAACGATCCTAGTGAGCAAACGTGAAATGACTGTTTACGCCCTAAAAAGTACCTAGTCTGCAAGATGACATTTTATGGGTTTTCTTGACGTTTTATAGGTTTTTTACATAATACCGTTCAGATTTGAGAGAAAGTATTTGGCACAATATTTCGTCACGTTTTAACGTCACTTGACGTGAACAGTCGATCAGCGATTGGCATCTTTGTTTGTTTATAACCTTCAGCCTAACTAGCGCGATCTACTTCTAACTTTACAGATACTTCCTCCATTATTCCCATATCAGTCTATTTTAAATTTGATTCAACCCAAAGCTGAATTTGACCCTGACGTCACCTAAGTGCCGAAAATCCCGAATCATAAGACGATTCTTTAAGGACCATTGGATTTAGATAGAACTTTCAAAAGTGTTAACTTGCATACAGAAAATAATTCATATTTGTGCTTATTGATCTGAATCCGATGAATTATCCAGTCAATAACATGCTGTAACAGTAGTTATAACACAATGAAAATATAAGACACTAAACGAGAAAAATTAAACAAGAATACCTCATTTGTACGTGAGAAGCCGATCTGCTACATAAATCAGAAACACCATTATCTCTAGATCAAAAACAATAGATTTCTCTGAGTTACAGCAGAAAAAGTATCTAGGTATTGATATCAACTCGTTTATAATGATATAACGAATATGATTACGGCTTACACAACAACCTACAGTGTCGGCAGCCACTTTTGCTAATATCCTACGTTATGTAACGCATCTGTAGGTATGCCTGTTGATCTTGAGACTAACTACTTCATTTGCAACGAATTACGTAAGAAATGTACGTATTTTCAATACAGAAATGCGAATGGACCATGTGTCAAGTCACGTTAAATTTCTGGGATGCTAAGTTCCCTGAGGGATGGCGTAATGTTATAAGAAACGATATTACATATCATTATACAATCTAATATTACTATTCTGGATCAAGTCGCAGGTTGTAAGTTATTTTTTTTTTTTCATAACGAAGGTCTAAATACCACCGCTGCTTGAATAAATTTTGTTAATCCGATTTTTGAACTACCTAAGGTTACTAAAACTGCGAAAAGCCTCTTGAGGTAGATTGTTGAACAATCTCGATAGCTTAGGGACAAAGGAGCGGCCGTATCGGCCAGTTCTGGAGGCCGAAATTAGGCCGATCTGTCTCGCAGGCATATCGCGCGGCATCATCATATGTCTTCTACCTGTGATAGAAGCGAAGGTGAAATTGAATTCAATTTACCAAAGGTGATTTTTAATTCATTGTATGGAGCACTTACTTGGGCGTGATGCGTGCAACGTTTTAAATACAACTTTGAAAACCGAATAAATTGGTTAAAGCATCGAATCTTGATATCGGACTTCCTAAGTTGGACTTCCAAGTTTTATATTTCACTGTCTTGGTTGCACTCCAAATTGACAGTAAACTACTGGGGAAACTCACAACTTCAAAAACGTAATTACGTTTTGTTACAGCTGATTTTATAACATTTTGTGAATCATTAGCGACGTTTCAGAATTCCCTCTATCTTTTGGGCCAGAGGAACATGACATCTCTATTCATGATACATCTTACTTCGTCTCTTGTAATTCTCTACTACAACCTGGTTATTATATTACAGGAAATATGAATGACAATAATAGATTTTCTATATAATGCTGGGTTCTCACCAAACCAACAAAACAGAAACCAAACATCAGCTCACATGTTTTTCAACAAATCGGCAACATTTCTTCAACAATTCCTTTTTTGTTTCTGTTTCTGGCAACTTTTGGCGAGCTCGTCGCGGGTCGGTAAAGATCAAAAGGTTTCTGTTTTGTTTTCATTTCTAGCGATGTGTACTTTGTTGCGAAACAACAGAACAAAAACTAATATCAAAAACTCACCTTAATATATTCTCTGAGGCTTTCAGTTCACCACAAAT